GCCCCCCCTGCCAATGACCCCCGCCCTGCTTCCTTGGCAGACTATGGATTTGCCTCGCCGCCCACCGGAGTGGCGCAAACCACCTTTGTGGGCATCATCATCTCCCGGGGGGCGGCGGCCAGCATCTCCTTCATGTACTCCTACATCCTGCTCACCATGTGCCGCAACCTCATCACCTTCCTGCGGGAAACCTTCCTCAACCGCTACGTCCCCTTCGACGCTGCCGTGGACTTCCACCGCTGGATCGCCACGGGCGCCCTCATCTTCTCCAGTAAGTCGGCCATGGGGGCGTGGGGGTGATACTGACGGGGAGAATATTCCCCAGAGACAGACCTCGGCCAGGGCTGGTCAGGACCCCTCTCCCCCCCACACACACACATGCGCGCACGGAGCGACACTGGCAAACACTGCATCGTAGAGCAAGCCTTGGTTGTCTGGCTCAGGCCCTGTGTTTGGGTCTCGAGCACTGGTACCCGGCCAGGCGTCCCCATGTATCTGCTCTGTCATAAGAACATCAGAACAGCCAGACTGGGTCAGACCAAAGACCCGCCCAGCCGAGTGTCCTGTCGGCCCACAGTGGCCAATGCCAGGTGCCCCAGAGGGAGTAAACCGAACAGGGAACCATCACGTGATCCATCTTCTGTCACCCATTTCCAGACAAACAGAGGCCAGGGACACCATTCCTGCCCAGCCTGGCTAACAGCCATTGATGGACCTAACCTCCATGAATTTCTCTAGTTCCTTTTTGAACCCTGTTAAAGTCCTGATCTTCACCACATCCTCTGGCGAGGAGTTCCACAGGTTGACTGTGCGCCACGTGAAGAAAAACTTCCTTTTCTTTGTTTTGAACCTGTTACCTATGAATTTCATTTAGTGACCCCCTAGTTCTTATGTTACGGGAACAAGTCAATAACTTCTCCTTATTCATTTTTTCCACACCAGTCAGGATTTTATAGACCTCTAGCCTATCCCTCCTTAGTCTCCTCTTTTCTAAACTGAAAAGTCCCAGTCTTTTGAATCTCTCTTCAAATGGGACCCGTTCCAAACCCCTCATCATTTTTGTTGCCCTTCTCTGAACCTTTTCCAGGGCCAATAGATCTTTTTTGAGATGAGGTGACCGTGTCTGTATGCAGGATTCAAGCTGGGGGCGTCCCATGGATTTATACAGAGGCAATAAGATGTTCTCTGTTTTATTCTCTGTCCCTTTTTTAATGAGTCCCCACATCCTGTTGGCTTGTTTGCCGGCCGCTGCGCCCTGCGTGGGTGTTTTCCGAGAACTCTCCACGCTGACTCCAAGAGCTCTCTCTTGCATCTTTGTTGCCAAATTGGTCTCCCTCATATTGTATGTGGAGTTGGGATGGTGTTTTCCAATGTGCGTTACTTTGCACTGATCGGCATTAAAACTCATTTGCCATGTTGCTGCCCAGTCCCCGTGCCTGGGGCGAGCCCTTTGACGCTCTCCGCAGGCCGCTTTGGACCGAACTGTCGTAAGCAGTTTGGTACCAAATGTTGCCACCTCCCTGGTGACGCCTGTCTCCGGAGCACTGAGCACGCTCTGTCTTTGCTCCGCAGTTCTGCACACCTTGGGCCACGTAGTGAACGTTTACATCTTCTCGGTCAGCCCGCTCAGCATCCTCTCCTGCCTCTTCGCCAACGTCTTCATGGACGATGGGTGAGTGGGGGGGGGACGCCATGGGGAGGGGCTCGAGAGCTCTCATCCAGCCTGCCCACGAAGTGATCTCCTTGGGCGGTCCCAGGAGAGGTCTCTTGGCTCCCCGGGCAGCGGAGAGCAGGGGGCGTTTGGCTTGTTCTGTGGAGGGCAGGGGGTGACACCGTCTCATCCCTCTGCAGGTCCCAGATGCCCCAGAAGTACTACTGGTGGTTCTTCGAGACCGTCCCAGGTAAGGGGGACCATCCGTGCGGGCCACGCATGGCGGGGGGGATCTGCACAGCTCCCCCACCCCTGCACTGGGGGTTCCAAGCCAGGCTCCTCCTGCCCCACTGCCCCTCCTTCCTCATCCCTCTCTCGGGCAGGCATGACCGGGGTGCTGCTGCTGGTGATTCTGGCAGTGATGTACGTGTTCGCCTCCCGCCACCTCCGGCGCATCAGCTTCCGGGGCTTCTTGATAACCCAAT